CCCGGAGCTCTATGCGACAGCAGCGCCTGCATCCCAACTGCATCCCACTAGCATCACCCCTGCATCCCATTAGCATCACCCCTGCATCCCTTTCCCACGCCCTTCCCATCCCTCCACGCCGCTCGCACCTACCGAACGACTTCACCCGATCGCGGCGGCGGCTGCAGGGATGGGGAGGGAGGAAGGAACCGCCGCCTTTAAATAGGGGTTGGAACGGCTGACGTTAGATGGGGCGGGTTAGAATGGTAGAGACGTGCCCGGCGACACGTCGGGGTGGAGAGGAAAGGAGGGGGAAGGAGCAGTGGGAAGGAGCGGGAGTTGGGAAGTGAAGAGGGTGACGGGCGCTGGGGAGCTCAGCCGCGTGTGATGGCTAAAAACCTGCTTCTCATTTCCACCTAAATCCATAGACTTTGTCTTGTTGATTTCCTCTTCCCATGTATTTACATATCAAATTCCCACTCGTTTGTTGTGGTAGGTTGCGTAAGCCAAACCTTTTCAGCCCTGCTGTGCCCTGGGTGTACTTTTCTGCAGGAATTTCGAGGTTGGAATGGTTTGTTTTTCTCCCCAGAGAAGCTGCTGCATGCAGTGTTTGAGTGATGCCTCAAACAGGACACTTAATTCTTTTTCCTGAAGTTGTTGGAAATTCCATGACTGGACTCAGACTTCTGCTTTTCAGACACATCACCCAGCAGTTGGTTAGTAAAGCCAAGTCCTTCTTTTCATTTGTTTCTTGCTAGGACCCCAAGAAAAAGCAAAGAAAAAAGTTATTATTTCCTGATTGAAGTTTCAATTTTATAGGGTAGGAAGTTGCAATTTTCTTATGGGTCATCCCACAAAACTGGCTTTTAGTAAACCCATTCATCCCTTTATTCATTGAATTTCATGTCTGTAGTTCAATTTTATTTTGTAAGTTTGCCTGGAGAGCTGCACAGACATCAGAAGCACCAAACTGCTTCCACCATGGCTTACTTCTTAATACTTGCTGCTCTGTTGTCCTGTTGCAATCCCTCCAGGTCAGTAAATTTACTTCCAATCTTTGCACCTGGATTTGCAGTTACTGTTCCTCAGGGTTCTGGGGTTGAGAGTGCTTGGTTTGTCCATTTGGAGCACAGAAAAATCAGGGAGTTTCACTCACCAGCTGACTATCTATTGTGTTGTATGCATTTCTCCCTCCTACCCCTTCTCTTAAGCATCCTGTCTTTACCCCATGGATTAATGTCCATCCTTACTGAAAATCAGGGAAGCATTCATTTCATCTTGTATGAGTAGCTGGGTTACCTTTATTGTCCCAGACATTTTAATTACCCCCTGCACCTTTTATTTTAAATTTACTGTAGTTGTGGTACCTTTATGATGTTTGTCTTAGTTTCCTTTTGGGATTCTAACTCTAGCTGATTTTTGGCAATATCTATTCTTTGCACCTGGGGTGAATTTGAGTTCCTTTTGAGGTGCTGTGGCATGCCTGGTTGCAGACCACCCCAGTCACAATTGCCTTCTGCTAGGGTGATCTGACAGGAAGGGTAGCCCAAAGCCTTATTTATTTGACAGTCCATTGGCAAAACAAAAGAAACAAAAAACACAGGGGAGAAAACATCTGAAAATGCTTGAAAAGTAGAACAAGGAGATTTTCGTGAAACACAACAGAAAAACATGAAACTGTGGTTATTATGAAGACCAGCACTTCCACCAAAGGAGGTGATATATAATGGCCTTTTGGTTGCAGAACTAGATGTGCTTTGTTCCTTGCTGCTGCTCGTGAGATGTGCCATGTCAGAGGAGACTGGTCACTAAGGATGGGAAGGTCTGGGTAGATGCTGAGTAGGCCTAAAGCCACAGGAATGCAGGATGAAAGGAAACATAGTTCTGTCGTTCCGCATTACTCTGGGTTCACTGAGCAACTTGTTCTAGCAGAAGCCTCAAGGATGGATTAGGATGTTTAGTTCTGCGTCCCAGGAATCTGTATTTGGAGTGGCTCTATATGAATGGGATTGAACATCTCATCCAGAGTTTGGGTTACAGACATCTGGCAGGGCAGAAGATGAACATTAGACAGGAATGAAGATTAAGAAGAAATATTTTTCCCTGTAAAAATTTTTACTTCTGAAGAGTTTCAATGTTAGGTAAGAATTTTCTAGAACAAGACTGGCTTCATAGGTTATTGAGCATTTAAAAAGTAAGTAACTAATGTAGAGTTAGTGGTATTTTTCTACTCACAGTGAGATCAAGACTCCAAAGAGAATGTTGGTCTTGTAAGATTCTTCTTTTCTTGTGGCTCAGATAAAATAAAATTGGAGATGGTTTTCAGGGTATAAGTTCCAATAACATCCTCACTTGTTTGTGTTTGTGTTGCCCATACTGAGAACAGAATTAAAGCAAAATCTCTGTTATCTATAGTGTAAGGCATCAGGTTGTCCTTGTCTGTCTGGTGCCTATTCCAGAGGTCCTAGCTTTAGCAGTGTAGGCCAGAGCAAGCTAACTAGGATGCTTCAAGACCATCCTCATCCCAACATGGATGATAAACAGATCAGAAGCCTTTTTGTGTTAAAAGGTGTTGTCTTTTAATGCCATTGTTAACTCACCTGGGTTACAGCAGGTTACAGAGTTCTGTGGAAGAGAAGGTGACTGTGATGGCCAATTTTTTTCCATTTACATGGCCTTTGTGATCTTGTTATCAGCAGTAGATGCTCAGGAGGAAAGCAGTCATCTGGCATGATTGACATTGATTTTCTGCCTCAGAGAGCTTCAATGAGAGAGGGCTCAGTACAACACAAACACAGTGGGCTGAGCAAATTAAGGGCATTTTTCTTGCACTTGGAAGATGGAGACCAGGTCTGTTTTGATTTCCTGTTAGTGAGTGGCTTTGATTATCGGTACGATGCTGACTTTCCTCACTTGTGTACATAAGGAGTTTTATCCTTCCTGCTCTTTCTCTGCTGCTGCCTTTGATTGTGGTAGTGGCAGGTGGCGTTGGTAGAGTGATGGGAATGTCTGAAAAGGGACAGTGTCTCTCCAGGGAAGCTTAGCCCTTCCTCAGCCTGCTTGCTTTTCCATATTGGCTTTCACAGAATAAACATGAAAAATGAAGCAATAGAAGCGGATGAGTGTGGAAGCATTAATGTTTTTATTCTAGAAGTTGCAAACAGAGCATTTCCACTAGCCTTGGGTGGCATTTGGTCAGGCCTTGGGCAGTAACAGAAGGAAATGATGCCACATTCTACTTAAACAATGTCTTTGCCTTTAAAATATGAGATACCAATTAGACCTGTACCACAATGTCATGGTTTAACTCCAGGGGCAGCCAAGCCCCACACAGCCACTAGCTCACTCCCCACCAGCAGGAGGGGGGGGAGAATCAGAAGGGCAAAAGCGGTAAAAGCTAGAAAACACATGGGTTGAGATAAAGACAGTTTACTAGGGAAAACAAAAGCCATGCACACAAGCAGAGCAAAATCCCTACTTCCCATGGGCAGGAGGTGTTCAGCACCTCCAGGACAGCAGGACCCCCACACACATAATGGTTACT